GGGAAATCCCTGGCGGGTGGCGGCCAGAAAGGGCCTCACCGTCCCACTGACCCCACAGCAGGCTGTGGCCGCTGGGTGCCCGGCGAGGAGCACGGGGTCACATGCTGCAGGGAAGTCAGGCCACCGCAGGCCCTGGGGACGGCGTGGAGAATCGGCCGTTTCCTCCACCTGAAGGAGCCCCGGGGACAGCCGGCAACTGGCGGCCGCACCCGGCATCTGCCCTGGGGCTCCGGCCAGGGCTCCGCGGGGGAAACGCTCGCAAACAAAGCCGTCTCTTTTTTGGGGGAGCGGAGGAGGGGGCCAGGGGAGAGAAAAACAATCTCAGACGCTCGAAGCACGAAAACAAGCGGAAACGGACTGGCCTGGTCTTCCGTACGGCAGAACGGGCGGCTCGTGTTCTCGGCCGTGGCGGGAAATGCCCCGGCCCCCCTGCCTGCTCCGGCCCTGGGCCAGCCCCTGGTGGCCGCGGCCCCCGAGGACGTCCAGGCGGCAAAGGCGGCAGTGACCCAAGTCCTGGCTCAGCCCGAAGGCAGCAGCTCCAAGCCCCGCGCCCCCCAGCCCGCCGGTGGGCAACCGGGCACTCACTGCGACACGTGGGTGATGGGGGTCAGCAGTGTCTCCCCCTCCAGGTCCAGGTCCTCAGTGAAGCTGTTGGTCCTCGTGAAGTGGGTGGCGCTCACCTCCAGCACCGTGGGGCGTTTCTTCACTGCAGGGAGAGGGCGGGGAGCACGTTAGACCCCGCAGACGGCCTGGTGGCCGAGGCGCCCGGGGCTCGCGGAGCGGGGCTCAGATGCCCGTCAACCTGCCGCGCTGGCATGGACGGGCCTCCACATCCCGAGCCTCCCCGCGGGTGGGGCGTCTGCTGGGTTGGAGCGGAGACTGAGCACGGAGCCCCAGCACCCGGTACCGGGCGGGGTGTGGTGTGAAACGGCCCCCCCGTGCCTGAGCTTCACCGCTAAGGAGCAGCTGAGGCCAGCGATGCCGCCTCGGCGAGGACTGTGCCCGCTCAGCGCGGGTGTCTGGGCCTCTCCCCAGGTTCAGGCCTGACACCCGGGGCAAGGATAAAACAGACAGGCGCAGATCTGGAGACGCTGACCCCGCCCCCCACCGTCGCAGACGTGCAGATGCTGGGGTGGTGACCCCTCACGGAAGATGTGGCTGGTAGGACTCCGGTCTGTGAGGATAGGAGAGCCCCGGAGGGAGGGGTCGCCACGGCCCCCCTCGGGCCAGGACGCCACATCGCCACCCGCACCGAGGGACCCGCTCCCGCAAGCGGCTGCACATTTGGGTCCTGGGCCGCCCTCCACGGTCTGACACAGGCCCTGGCCTGGCCAAGAACCCCCCCCCCCCCCGTCTCCTGGTTTTCGATCTGGACTTCAAGTTTTTATTGTAAAAGAACTAACTGCTCGCAAGGAGTAAAGACTCGCGAAGGCCCTTCCCCTCCAAGGCCGTCAGCGTCCACCGCCAGCTGGACCCCTAGCGCTTCCTCCCCCGCTTGGCGCAGTGGCGGAGGCCGGGCGGGATGCTGGGGCGCCGTGCCGGTTCCATCCCTGTCGCCGCACGTGCTCACCTCACTTTCTACAGCTTGGCGGATGTGGATCTACGCCTGGCTGTAGTGGGTGCTCGGCAGCCTGTAGCTTAGATCTGCGCAGGGAGCTCAGCCTCCCGCCCCTGACGGACACGCGGGCTCCGTGGGCCCCGCGGGCTCGAAGCCGCTGCTTGAAGACAGGAACGTGCTGCCCGTCTCTACGAAACTTAACTCGGGGCGGGAGAGAGGTGCTTGCTGGGTGGTTTTATGTCGCCGGATTGTTTTCCTGAGAAGTGGGAGCCATTCAGACCCCACCAGCGGTGGCAAACGCGCCCGCCTTCCCCACCCCCACCCCCAGACCGGTGCGGGCGGCCTGCGCGGGCTCGCCGGGCGCGGGTGGAGCCCAGGACGCGTTCCTCCTTCCCTGCTGAGGGCTGTGCGGCTCGGAGGCTGTTTGGATTTCCTCTTGCGGAATCATCTGTTCACATCCTTTGCACATTTCTGCTCGAGTTGTAGGAATTTTTCATGTATGAGAAATGTTAACCCCTTCTCATAGGAGGCACCAGCGCCTTCCTCGGTCTGTCTTTGGTGTTTTACCTTAATTATGGCTGTTTTTAACCACAGAAAACAGTTTGTGCTGTTGTTTTAATTCTCACCCAAAGATAATGGGGGTTTTTTTATTGATTTTTTTTTTTTTTTCCGAGAGACATCAATTGGTGCCTCCCATGCAGATCCCAAGCGGGGATTGAACCTGCGGCTCAGGCATGTGCCCCGATCGGGAGTCAAACCTGCAACCTTCTAGGACGATATTCCAATTTACTGAGAGAGCCACGCGGCCTCTTTTTAAAAAATATTTATATATATATATAACGGCATTCCTATCTTTGGCTTTTTGAAAAGGGGAGGTTTTCCCACTCTGAAGTAATTCATATGTTTCCTAAATCCATTCAAAATTTGTGTGTGTGTGTGTGTAAATTTTCACCCATTTAGCATTTATACTTAACATTGTGGGAGACGAGCAGTCAGAATATGAAGATGTAAAAGCTGTCATGTACCATCTTACGAGAGCACTAAAGCAAAACATGGACTGATGTCTCTCGAAGGAAACAGGAGAAAATCCCTGGGCCTCGCATCTGGCCATGAGTTTGGAACTAGGACATTAGACGCTCAGTCTGTAAGGGGGGGGACGTGGAAGAATTGGGCTTTATCAAAATGAAAAGCACTTGCTTTGTGAAAGACCTGGCTAAGGAAATAGGACAAACCCCAGACTTGGGGGAAATGTTCACACATCACCTACCTGGTCAAGAGCTTGTCTCGGAGCAGAAAGAACGCTCGCCATTTGACAACAAGAAAGCGGACAACCCGGTTTTAAAAGTGGATTACAAATAAACACAGGATAAAAAGTGGATTACCAATAAACATATGATAAGAATGGATTACAAATAAACGTCTGAGAAGATGCCTGTCGGATCCACGTCAGCAGTTATCAGGAAAATGCAAATTAAATCCACAGTGAGCGACCACTACACCCTTATGAGAATGCCTACAATTTTGAAATGGTGTCAATTTTGGATACTTGGGAAGCAGAGAAAGATAGAGCCTTACCTCTCACCTTAGATAGGGAGAGGGAAGAACCGAAGCCCGACAACGCCAAGTGGGATGTGCAGTGGTGAGCACTTTCACGTGCTGCTGGGCAGCCATGGTGAGGGAGAGCCAGGCAGTTCCTCATACAGTTAAACATGCACTCGCCGTGGGACCCAGCCATCCCTCTCAGTTATTTACCCAGATGAATTGGAAATTTGTGTTCCCAAAAGCCCGTACATAAGCTTGTATACCCCCTTTTATCACAATTGCCAAAGCCTGGAAACAACCGAGATGTACTTCAGTGGGTGAGTGGAAAACTGTGGCCCAAACAGACAATGGAAAACCACTTGGCAATCAAAGGAAATGAACTAGTGGCTCATGCAACAACGCAGAGGAATCTGAAATGCATGTTCTGTAGCAGTGAAAGAAGCCAGATGCAAAAGGCTACATATTATGTGATTCCATTTATATGACATTCTGGAAATGGAAGCACTCCAGGGACACGGAACAGATCGATGGCTGCCAGTGTTTCGGGGAAGGGGGTCCTTGACTTCAAAGGGGTCACACAAGGGAATTTTCAGGGCTGTGGACCTTTTCTGTGTGATGCCGCAGTGGTGGATACGTGACATTTGTCAAAACGCACAGAACCAGACATCTCCAAGAGTGAGCTCTGCTGTGTACAATCTAAAAAGAAATCTCTCAGAAGGAAACGGAACGAGGAACCGGCCTACAAGGCCTCGGGAAGGGGTCTTTGGACTGGATAGGATACAGCTAAAGTGAAAAAACACACCACAACTCAAACACAGAATGAGTTCACTAAGGTGGTTTCTCAGGGTGCTGCTCATCCACACAGATCAGACAAATAGTCCATCGATTATAGATTATGACGGCCAGATTTCTCATGGTCAGAGGAAAATGACAAATAAATGGAGTGGGGTGTGTAAGCGAGCCCCATGGTTGGAAACATCAGCGTGAACTCATATTTAGCTTGATACAGACACAGATGTGTGCACACTTGGGTTATGTACAAACATATGTTTCCCAGCTCTGTCTGCTGAGAGGCCCTGGAAAGAGTGACAGCCCCAGAGCTACACGCACACCCAAGGCCCGGATTCTGGTTTTTAACTACCACCCGTTCTCCACGGAAAGGACCCGGGGCTCTGGCTGGGTGGCGATTTGTAGGCCTGAGCAGGGAAAATACGTGATGAGCCCAAACGATTGTCTAGTGCCGGGAAGGAGGAACATGCTCAGAAGGAAAATGGAAAGAAAGCAGGCATGTCCCATAGGCCCAGGAACCCAAAGGAGCTCTCAACCCAACGGCCATTAAAATGAAGACCTAATCTGAGCAACAAAGGAAATAATGATAATGTTGGATTGTAGCTCAAAAGATACCCAAGTCCTTACCGATATAAATTAAGAAATAACTGGAGGAAAGGGACAGACCTTCCTTGCAGAAGAATTCTAAATGATGCCCGAAGAAAGAATGGGGAAAGTAGAAAAGCCCCCGCTGGAACGCAGGGGTACTTGCTGCGGGCAAGATCCTCGGGTGAATGCTGAAATTAGCAGGTGAGGCTTTAAGACACAACTCCAAAGTATCTGCCCTCAAATATGTGTTCCTCGCTGTGGCGGTCTGAACACGGCTACCGAGTCTTAGCTACGCCCTCCTGCAGGAGGCAGAGCCTGACTCCCTCCCCTCCCCTCCCCGTGAGCGTGGGCTGGACTCAGGGACCAGTTCCCACGACTAGATTGTGCCAGGGAGGAACAGTGCCCTGGTGGTGGGGGAGCCCGGCTGGCACCACCTCACCCAGGCGACGCCAGGTTCATGTCCTCAGCGACTGCGTGTTGATGTCATGTATCCTGACGTGATGCAACGAGACATGGACCCTGAGAAACGTCAATGACTAGTACCCCTCAGTGTCAGGGTCACAAAAGACCAGGCAGGACTGAAGCCGTCCCCAAGCACAGGATACTGAGGATACCTGCTCACCAGATATAATGCTGGATCTGAGAACAGAAAAGGGACACGAGTAGTTAACCTGGGGATATCCAGGTAGATGAACTAAACTGGGCGCTGCCAGTTGCTGCCGTGTGGATTCCTTCCTCCCGAGCATGGTTATAGGAGAAGCTAACGTCAGGGGCAGCCAGTGAGAGGTCTGGGGGGCCTCTTGTGTAAATCAAAAAGGTCGTAATATCTAGTTAAGGATACACAAGAACTCTAAGGAGAAACGGTAAAACCTTAGTAGGAGTTGTTGAAGAAGAAAGACAAATGGAGACGTTGGCTTTTCTTCTGACTCAAAGACCCAATCTTGAAAAGATTCTTCCCAAATCTCACGGGAACTCCCATAGTTGTGTGCTAGACCCTTGGCGAGCTGATCCTGGGAATGACCTGGACGTGCTTAAGGACCAGAGTCCCCGTGTACCTGAGGGACGGCACAGCGGAGCTGTATGGACATCGGGCCTTCCTGTGAGGCCGCGCTCGTTAGGATGGTGCCAAGCTGGTGAAGAAGGATGGACCGGCCAAAGGGACAGGGCCGAGTGTCAGAAGTAGCCCCACCCTTACTGACGAGTGCAGAGATGGTCAGGGACAGCTGGCT